TAGAAGGCTTCTGAAAAACTTACCTTATCGTAAAATTGATTAATATTAGATGAATTTGTTTTTAAATTTTATTAAAATTAGCTTTACCATTAATACACTAATGTAATAGAAAATTTTTTTTCTCGTTTGAACTAGATTTTCATGTGATATTAATAGGAATACCAAAATATTTTTGTTCACCTCTTGAATGTATTGCAAAATAGTGAGTAGAAGAGAAAAGAGACACATTTAGTTTGCCTCCTCATTAATTTGTATGTCAGTTTGTCTATAATAGGTCATATGATGGTTTGGAAAACTGACTTCCTCTGTATAAAAAGTAAGATTTTTGCTTTTATAATTATCAGAATACTAAATACATTCTATAGTAACCTGTAATCTTGTTTTGGGACAAGTGGTTTATGACAGACAATTTGTGACTTCCTGTTTCTTAAGTTTTCACTAAAATTTGAAGTTACTTAAAATAAGAAGTGTAATCAGTACATGTATCAAGTGTTCCAAAAATAAGACATGTTTACAATAAGAAAAATTTTAAAGGCATAAAAAGGTTTTCTTATTATATTGGTATAATTTTTCTAATTCAGTAGTTATTTAAAGGTTGGTCAATAATATCACTGTGAGAAGAAAATAAAAAACAAGATGGAAATCAACTGGTGATCAAGAGAAAGAGATATGAAAAGGCAATGAATATAGAAATACATTTTTGGTAAGAAAGATTAAATAGAAATTAGAGTAATACTGTGTAAGAAAGAATCTGCTATGGATTATGTTTTTTTCTTAAGATGAATGGTCATTTAAGAAAGGGAAATTTGTCACAAAACCAGAAAGATTTAGGTATATTTATACATAGTGTGTGCAAGTTGAGATAAAGTTCATAAAAAGGAATTTATGAAGGAATTTTTATGAGATCCAGTTTATTATAATTTAAATTTTTTTTAAAAAACCACACTTTAAAAACATTAATTTGGTGTTAATGAAAGTACATAATGTACTCACTTTCATTCTATAATCTGTTCTTTCTTAATGAAAAAATGCCACTGCAGAAGGAATATCTTTACCTTTTTGGTAACTGGCCTAAAAGAAGAAAAGGCACTTGGTTTCGAACCAGAGAAAACCACGTATATCAAAAGCAAAACTAGGCAATGAAAACAAAATGGGAGGTATCAATATGCCAGATTTCAAACTATACTACAAAGCTGTAGTACTTAAATCAGTTTTATATTAGCACAAAAATAGGAATATTGACCATTGGAACAGAACTGAGAACCCTGATATAAAATCATCCTCATATAGCCATCTAATCTTTGACAAAGCAGACAAAAACATCCACTGGAGAAAATAACCCTTGTTCAATAAATAGTGCTGGGAAAACTGGATAGCCACTTGTAGAAGGCTGAAGCAGGATCCACACATTTCACCTCTCACAAAAATCAACTCACGCTGGGTAACAGACTTAAACCTAAGGTATGAAACTATTAGAACTCTAGAGGAAAAAGTTGGAAACACTCTCCTAGACATTGGCCTAGGCAAAGAATTTATGAAGAAGACTCCAAAGTCAATCACAGCAGCAACAAAAATAAATAAATGGAACCTGATCAAACTAAAAAGCTTCTGCACAGCCAAAGAAACAGTCATGAAAGCAAACAGACAATCTACAGAATGGGAGAAAATTTTCACATCCTATACATCTGATAAGGGGCTGATAACTAGAATCTACCTTGAACTCATGAAAATCAGCAAGAAAAATCAAACAATCCTATCAAAAAGTGGGCAAAGGACATGAACATAAACTTTTCAAAAAAAGACAGAATAATGGCTAACAAACATATGAAAAAATGCTCAACATCTCTAATCATCAGGGAAATGCAAATCAAAACCTCACTGAGATATCACTTATCTCCAGTAAGAATGGCCTTTATCAAAATGTGCCCAAACAACAAATGTTGGCGTGAACGTGGAGAGAGAGGAACACTCCTACACTGCTGGTGGGACTGCAAACTAGTTCAACCTCTGTGGAAAGCAATATGGAGATACCTTAAAGCGATACAAGTAGACCTACCATTTGATCCAGCAATCCCACTACTGGGCATCTACCCAAAAGAACAAAGGGCAACTTACAAAAAAGACACCTGCACTCAAATGTTTATAGCAGCACAATTCACAATTGCAAAGCTGTGGAAACAACCGAAGTGCCCATCAATACATGAGTGGATTAATAAAATGCGGTATATGTATTACCATGGAGTACTATTCAGCTCTAAGAAATAATGGTCATATAGTGCATCTTGTATTTTCCTGGATAGAGCTGAATCACCCATACTACTAAGTGAAATATCCCAAGAATGGCAAAACAGGCACCACATATACTCACCAGCAAATTGGTATTGACTGATTAGCACCTAAGTGGACACATAGGATTTACATTTATTGTGTATTGGGCAAGTGGGAGGGGGGAGTAAGGGGCGGATTAATACATACATAATGAGTGAGATGTGCAGCATCTGGAGGTGGTCACACTTGAAGCTCAGACTTGTGGGGGGAGAAGGGACAAGGGCATTATACACATCCTTAATATTTGTACCCCCATAATGTGCTGAAATAAAAAATAAAAAAAGAAAGTGTTTTTTTTTTGTTGTTTTGTTTTTGAGACAGAGTCTCACTTTGTTGCCCAGGCTAGAGTGAGTGCCGTGGCATCAGCCTAGCTCACAGCAACCTCAAACTCCTGGGCTCAACCGATCCTCCTGCCTCAGCCTCCCAAGTAGCTGGGACTACAGGCATGCACCACCGTGCCCGGCTAATTTTTTTCTATATATATATTAGTTGGCCAATTAATTTCTTTGTATTTATAGTAGAGACGGGATCTCGCTCTTGCTCAGGCTGGTTTCGAACCCCTGACCTTGAGCAATCGGCCCGCCTCGGCCTCCCAGAGTGCTAGGATTACAAGCGTGAGCCACCGCGCCCGGCCAAGAAAGTGGTTTTTTAAACTGGCAAAGTCCAATATTTGCTTCTTCAAGATAAGTCATGGAAAGAACTAACAAGTTCTCTTGAATACAGGTTCCTGATAGCTTTAGATATTAAATACTATTGGACTAAGCAAAATAAGATTTTAGGACTTTAATTAGACAACTCATATGACTATGAGTATCACTAACTCAACCTCAGACAGAACAGAAAATAATTACATGAGACTAAAATTTTTATGAGGTTTTGTATGAAACATTGCTGATTCCTTTTTTTTTTTGGCCTTCCATAAGTCAAGAATTTTTTTCCTTTCCTTTGAGCTATTTATACCTTAAAACAAAGTATATATTTCTAAGCAAAATTTGAAGCAAATATTTTTTTTTCTCCAATTCATTTCTCCAGAACCTAAAACTATTTTTAATTATTCCTAATATATGGAAATATTGTTATTTGAATAAGTTCAATAAGAATTTGTTTTCTTCTACAAAGGGACACAACGGAATGCATGGGCTATTATACCAAGGCTTTCACTGGATGGTATATTTTCAGAGGTACTCAGACTGTATTAAGGAATTAAAGTTGACTTTATAAGTGTGATATAAATCCCTTTGGAAAAACTTGCTAGGTACTTCATCAATAACATTTTCTTATGTATAGTGAAGAAAGAATGTCACTTTCTGACAGGACCGGGAATCCCAAGCTACTTTGGCATCTCCAGAAAAGAGGAATTCACCCAATACATACAGGTATCTAATGGCACAGATACATCCCTGGCTTGACTTGAGAGGCTTTCAAGTCTAACCTGAGATTCCTTATGAAAATTTACAGTAAATCCAATTTTAAAAGAAAAGACTATATGGCTAATAATTATTTCTACTGCACTGTATGCAAATTATCAGGCCAATTATAATGAGAGTAAAGTTTATTTTGGCAAGTAAATTGATCCTAATATGATTCACGTATAATGAAAATGAGAAACTGAAGAAAGAAAATATGGTTCAGAAATAAAAGAAATATATTTCACTTGTTATTAGATTCTAGTTTTATCTACTCTTTCTGAGTTTTTGATATTTGCCTCTAGTTTGGACTTAATCCTGAGTAACGTCCTGACTACAAGTCTCCAGATAAAATCCTCCACCAAATTCTTAATAAAGACTCATCAGGAAGATACAAGAACACCTGGTAGCAAAGCTTGCTGTAAATACCAGTTCTTGCCTACACAATATACACCAATGTAGATATGGTTATAAACCTGTCTGAGACTCTGGGTCTGATAGCAGAAGAAATTGTAAAAATCCTTAGTGTTCAAAAAATTCCCTAAACTCTCTAGCCCAAGTAGTGTTAGATAATCTGGCAGTGCTAGATTTCCTGCTGGCTAACCAAGGAGGAGTCTGTGCAGTATTAAACAGTACCTCAGGAAAAGTTCAAACCTGAGTAGAAAAAAAATTCCAACAAGCTGTGTGGCTAAAACTGGGCTCTGATAGTGAGGCACACGTAATTAGTTTCTGAGATTATTAACTTGGACTCCCCAGAACTTCAGATCAGTGCTCCAGGGGCTCTTAAAGTTAGATATTAACTATGTTATAGTCCACTATTCAATTAAGCACTGTGCCAATGCTGTAAATAAGAGTACTAATGTTTTCATCATACAAGGCTTAGGTCTGAAATCCAGCACCCATAGATATTTCCAGATGACTGAAAAAATTGTTTCACTTCTGTTATCCTGGGCTAAAACCCAACTCCATTCCTTCTCAAGAGGATTAAGCCAGAGTGCATTTTCTTATTTTGCCCACACCCTCCATAATGAGGTTGGGAAAAAGAGAAAGGGGGGAGGTTGAAACCAGCTTTACAAATTTATGAAAAGGTGCAAGGTGAGAACTGTGGTAAGAGCTTAGCTAAAAATAATTCACAGGCTTAGCAAAAAAAATACTGACAATAATTAGACACCGCCCCCCTTTTGCTTCTCTATAATCATCACTCTGGCTTCACATAGCTGGTGATCATAACCATTTTTAGGTTTCTCCATAGATAATGTCACCTCATTGAAATCTAGGGGTAGTTTTGAGATATCTTCTTGGTCCAACATTTCAGTGGAATGGGTGACCCACCCAGAGTAGTGGCCCACACTAAGGAACTGACTCAACTAGCCTTATAACCACCACCTAAAAACCTGAATGGCAAAGAAGACGGTTTACACAACCCTAAGGTAATGTCACAAACCAAGCTGATTAGCAAACACAATTGCCTATGCCAAACTGTTTTTACACACTCTGTTTCCCAAATTCTTGGGGAGGCAGATTTGAGAAATTTCTCCCATCTCCCCACTTAGTGCTAGGTGGATTAAATTCATTCTCTGTCTCAGCATGTTGGCTTCCTCTTAGGCAGAGGGCAAATATACCTGGTTGGATGGCAATAATATGGCACCGTTCCTTGGGTCACCAGCCAGCCCCCTGGTTTTAAGTTGAATATAATGTGCATCATCCATGATGGAATGGTCAGTGTTAATTCCTTACTAGAACAGGCCCTTACCCTGCATATGCATTTTCTTTCCTGCCTGCAAGTCTGCTGCCCAAACTACCATCCATGGACTTACATTGAAAAAAATATTTATGTTCTCTGTCACTAACATTTCTCAATTTTGGCATCTAATGTCTAGAAGTGATTTCTTTAAAAAGTATTTTGTGGGATCCTGAAGACACACAGCCAAAGAATACCTTAAAATGAGGCTCTCTGGGCTATGTGAGGCACAGACACTTTGCAGACATGGTTATTGACATTCTATTTGGTGACTGGGTAATAAGGAGTGTGAGTGGGAAGGAGAAAGAGGAGTGTATCTCTGGAGCATTACCTGTTGAGTCCAAAGTTCTGGTGTTTGCTTGTTTGTTTTTCTTGCGTTTGGATTCTTTTTATACAAAATATAATTTTTGAAATATATTCTTAAAAAATATTTATGTAGTTATTTTTAAATTTAAAAAGTTGCAAGTATCCTATGTAGATTTTCATATACCCTTTATCTGCCTATAATGTTAATATATTACATAACCATATTATATGTATGAAAATCCAGAAATTGAAAATGGTACAGAACTTTTAATTGTAGTGCAGATGTTTTAAAAATATCACCAGGTTTTTCACTAACATCATCTGCATGTGCTAAGATCTCATCCAGGACACCACATTACACTTATGTCAGGTTCATTACTTATTTATGCATAACATATTACCACATAGTTTAGTGGCTCAAAACCACATACACCTTACTCACAATTTCTCTGTTGTCAGGAATCCAGAATCATGTGACAGAGAGTACCTGAGAACTCAACTGAAAGTTCGGGTGTAGAAGGACTTGCTTCCAAACTCACATAATTGACTTTAGGATTCAACTGATGCTCAGGCTGAGATGAATTCACTGATAAATTCTTCCAAACCTTTAAGAAAATAAATGAAAAGCTTTACCTACAATTATCAATTTATTTTTAAAAGTTCTGTTATTTAGTAGTTTCTTATTTTTTGGCACTAAAAGTTGCTCTAGGTTAATTATGTTAGCATGTTATTTACAAGTTATTCAAAAAATTGTAGTCCTTTTTTGATAAATGGGATTAGAAATGAAGATTTGGGCATTGCTACTATATGTCTGTCCATTCTACACTTTGTCATCTAACAGAAAAAAAATGAATATATTTCTGTATAGTACTTCACAGAAACATATATATATATTTCAAATTTGTCCATGTATCTGTGCAAAGTTAAGCATAAATTCCTCCGCCCGACAGCCCACCAAATAAGATTCAGCACTGGAAGGTCTGAGAAAGGAGAAAAGTCACTTTCCCTTTATGACTAGCTTGGATATGTGGTTCATTGGAATTAAGCAAAAGGGGGCAGAGTGATGTCTACATACAGTCACTTCCAAAAGAAAATACTCAATCTCCATCAACTGATACCAATTTACATGATATGATTAAACTGACAGAGGAAGAATTCCAAATAAGGATTGTTAGATAAATCAATGGAATTGAAGAGAAAATAGAATTTCAACATAGGGAAACCACAAGAACAATTCAAAAAATTAACAAAAAATTCTCCAAAGAAATGTTCTGTATTATTTCAATATAGAAAAAACAAACATATATCCTGGCAATGAAGGAAACATTCAAGGAACTCCATAATACAGTGGGTAAATCCTCAAGAAAAGAATGGATCATGTGGAGGAAACAATCTCATACCTTAAAGATTATGCCTATGTACTAAATAAATCAGAAGAAGAAAGGGAACACAGAAAGAAGAGATGAGACCAAAGTTTACAAGAAGAGTGGTATTATGTAAAAATGCTATATCTCAGATTGATCGGAATTCTGGAAGGGGAAGAGCAACATTCACAAGGGTTGGAAAAATTATTTCACGGAATACTGGAGGAAAATATACAGGCCCTGACCAGAAATGTTAGCATCCAAATACAAGAAGCACACATAACTCCTGGGAGACTCAACGTGAAAAGGCAACCACCTCATCACGTGGTTATTGGGCTGACCAAAGTAAACATGAAAGAAGCAATCCTCTGTGCAGCGAGGTGAAAACAACAAATAATCTATAAAGGAAAGCCTATCAGACAAACAGCAGACTTCTCATCTGAAACCTTACAAGTCAGGAGGCATTGGGAACCTATCTTTAATGTTCTAAAACAGAATAAAGCTCACTCTAGAATTCTTTATCCGGCAAAATTAAGTTTCATCTATGAGTGTTTCTATAGGAATTGAACTCTAATTTTATACCACTATGGTCAGAGAAGACACACGGTATAATTTCTATTTTCCTGAATTTTTTTTGAGATCTGATTTGCAGCCTCGTATATGATCAATTTTAGAGAAGGATCCCTGGGCTACTGAGAAAAATGTAAATTTAACTTTATTTGTGTGGAATGCTCTGTATAGATTTGTCAGACATTTTAGATCAAGAGCTCCATTTAAGCCTATTATTTCTTTGCTTATTTTCTGTTTGGAGGATCTATACAGTTCATTCAGTGGAGTGTTGAAATCCCTGCTTCTATGGCAGTATTGTTTAATATGCTACTTAGATCAGGCAAGGTTTGCTTTATGTAATTGGGTGCTTCTACATTGGGTGTATAAATATTAAGAATTGTTAAATCTTCTTATTTGATCTTCCCTTTCACCATTATAAAGTGGCCATCTTTATCCTTTTTAATTTTGCTATTTTAAAGCTCATGTTATCTGCAAATAGTATAGCTACTTCTGCTTTCTTTTAACTTATGTTTGCCTGTATGATAGTTTTCTATCCCTCTACCTTCAGCCAGAAGGCATCTTTGTGAGTTAGATGTGTTTCCTGTTGAGAGCAGATACTAGGCTTATGGATTTTTATTCACTCTGCCAGTTTATGCCTCTTCAGAAGACATTTTAAGCCATTTGCATTTATTGAGAGGATTGAAATTGGAGGAATATTTTCATTCATATTGTTAGGTGAAGTCCTGTTGTTTTGTCTTATTTGTGGAGCCATCATGTAGTTCAAGTTCTAGCCTTTAACTCTTTGAAGATTTTACTTTGATGAGTGTCTCACTGGCCTGGACCTGAAAGATACTTTCTTTTGCCTAGGAGTGGCACCAGTGAAACAGCCCTTTTTTGCATTTGAATGGGAAGATCCTGACACTGGAAGAAAAAGACAGCTTAGGTGGATGCAATCACCACAGGGCTTCAAAAACTCATGAATGATATTTGGAGAGATACTAGCAGAAAACTTATCCTCCTACCAGAGGGAAGAGCTCAACTGGACTCTCCTGCAATATGTAGATGATCTCCTCCTAGCATGCCAAACCAAGGACAACTGCCTTCAGGCCACTTAGCCTTATTCCAACTGCTCACTGAAAAGGGATGCAAGTTTTTTGGAAAAAGGTCCAGATTTGGAGGAGAGTAGTCAAATATCTAGGTTTCAAGATTTCTCAAGGGAAGAGGGAGATGGGACATGAGTGGAAATATACAATCTGCTCAATCCAGAGGCCCAGTAGCTGGAGACAACTCCAAGAATTTCTGGGAGCAATTGGGTTTCCTTGCATCAAAATCCATAGTTTTGCACACTTGCCTAAGCCACTCTATGAGGTCTTATGAGGACGAGAATCAAAGACTTAGAATGGTAAGATGAATAAGAACAAGCCTTGAGAGACTTACAAACTCAGTTACAAATAGCCCCAGCACTAAAACTACCTGATCATACCAAAGACTTCAGTTTATTTGTTAATTAGCAGGGCCTGGTGGAAATAGGAGTCTTGACCCAAACTGTCGTACCATGGCAGAGACCTGTAGCATATCTGTCCAAGTAGCTAACATGGTGGCACCTGAATGGCCTTCATGCCATGGCAGCAATAGTACTCCTAATCAAGGAAGCTGACAAATTCACTTTGGGTCGACATACCCATGTTCACATCCCATACAGTGTCATATAACTAACTAACAATTTGGGACACCAGTGGCTTGCCAGCAGCCAACTGGCTCAGTATCAAGGACTGTTATGCGACAATCCACATTGGAGGCTGTGCAGACCCTAAATCCGATGACCCTCCTGCCTGTTAACCTGGGACTCCCAGACCATGACTGCTTTGAAGTAACAGGACTGTATGTCAGCAGACCAGGCCTTAAGGACAGCCCTCTGCCAAATCCTTAATTAGAAGTCTTCACAGACAGCAGCAGCTATGTTCAGGATGGGAAACAAAGGGCAGGCTATACAGTTACAACACAAGACAAGGAAATTATGGCAAGACCCCTGCCAACTTGATGGTCCACACAAATGGCAGAAATGTGGGCCTTAATCCAAGCCCTAAAATATGCCAAGGATAAAAGGACAAATATTTACACTGATTCAAAATATGTCTGGTGTGCTTTACATGTACATGGAGCCATTTATAGGGAAAGAGGACCATTAATGACAGGAGGCAAAGAAATCAAAAACAAAGAAGAAATTTTCCAATTGCTACAGCCATATGGTAACCAAGAGAAATTGTGGTTATTCACAGCTGTGGACATCAAATGGGGACCGACACAGTAGTTACTGCTAACTGCCTTCCTGACCAGACAACTAAGAATGCAGCTGGTCAAAAGCCCCCTAACAATAACTCCTAAGACACTAGTCAAATTCTGTTAGCACCTGAGTGGTCATAAAAACCCAATTATACACCAGAAGAAGATGGTTGGGCAAAACAAAAAGGTGGTATAAAGGATCAACTGGTATGGTGGCACCTGGAAGGCAACAGAGTCTTCATCCCCAGAAAACTAGCATATCCAATTACCTCCCAATATCACCTGTTGTCTCACATGGGAAAGACAGTGCTTTCCAATTTACTCAACAAGTATTACTACATTGTCTGGCTCCCATCCCTTGTTACAACCCTCTGTGCTCACTGCCAAGTCTGTGCCAAGAACAAGGTGACAACATGGTCCAGGCCCATCTGAGGCATCCAATACACAGGAATTTTCCCCTTTGAAGATGTAGAGATTGACTTTACTTAAGTAAAATTGTTCAGGGGATTCAAGTACCTGCTGGTTATGCTGTGGACCTTTTTGGGCTGGGTCAAAGCCATCCTCACATGGACTGAAAAAGCCAGAGAGGTAATAAAATCCTATTAAAAGAAATCATCCCATGGCATGGACTGCCACTCTCATTTGGCAGTGACAACAGGCCCAGCTTCATGGCAGAAATTACACAATATCTGACTAACATGTTAGGAATCAAGTGGAAACTCCATACTGCCTATAGACCACAAAGTTCAGGGAAAGTAGAATGCATGAACCAAACCCTCAAGACCACCTCGCAAAGTTGTGTCAAGAAACACAACTACCTTGGACAGATCTGCTCAGTTTATCTCTCCTCAATATCAGATGTACCCCAGAACCAACAGGGTATACACCCTTTGAAATTCTATATGGAAGACCCTCACCCATAATTAAGAGGATCAAAGGAAATATCAGGCAGATAGGGGAAGAAAGTCTATGCATAAACTTGTTTCCCTATCCAAAGTCCTAAACCAGATTAATCATACTATCTTAGAGAGCACTCCAATAGCCCCAGGACTCCTAGTCTATCCCCACAAACCTGTGGACTTAGTCTGGGTTAAGGACTGGAAAAAGAAATCCTTAGAACCCACTTGGAAAGGCCCTCATACTGTTGTACTAGTCACCCCTACTGCTGTTAAAGTTACAGGTATAATACCTTGGATCCACCACTCAAGAGTAAATATGGCTGTGTCTGATTACTACCCAGACTCCTGGACAGCGCTTAGTGAAATGCAAATCTATACCATCATGAGATGCACTCCACAAATCTTAAATGTTTATTTATAAGTTAATGGAACTAGTTCAAAAAGTCTGTGTAATGTTTAATTCCATTTAAAGAACACTGTGGAAAGGTGCAATTTATAAAGACTGTAAAA